TAAAAACAGTGTGATAAACATCCTCAGCTCACAGTATCTTTTAACATTTTAGATTAACATTTTGCAGGAAATTTCTCTTTGCAAATGCAGTATTTAAGGTTTTAATTTGCTCTGGTGTTTTGACCAGTTCAGTCAACAATGTTCACAAACTACATGAGAGATAAGACTACCTGCTCGGGTCTAAACAAGAAATAGCTTTCAATGTTTCTTTGCCTTACCCTCCTCTTGCTCTCCATCATAAACAATGTCCCTGGCTAGCTTGCAAAACTTTAAAGAAAGTTTAATCAAGGTTCGTTTGAGCTCAATCAGGATCCGAGAAACACTGAAACAGGGACACTACTGTATTTTAGGACTGCTGCAGCTAACAGAGGCTGAGTGGGCTGTACACCTGCTCTAACAGCTGCACTGCCCCTTTTCATGTCAAAGATCTGCCCCTAACCCTTTCTGTTCCCTTTCCCTCTTACTTTAATCAGAATATCAGTAAATGCAATTGCATATAAAACTTCTATGTAAAGGAAAAAGGGCATCTACATTGTGACATAAGGGGAATTAATACATTAAGTCAAACAACAAAAAAGCAGCAAAGTATTTTTGTTAACAGTGTCAGTGGTTGTACTAAAAATCAGAAGAGGTGTCTTATGCTTATAGTACTTACAAGGTAAGTTGGTCCACATCACTTGCTAAATCTAATATCCACATACAGTAACAAATATAAGTTTTCTTAATGAAACAGGATTGTTCAAAAAGCAATGTGTTTATTTATTATTCATTAAATTATTTAGCAGCAGATTACAACAATCAATCAACAAATATAAGTCTATGAAAATGTTTTACAACTAAAAAGTGTATTAACTAGAAAAACGCCAACTGTTTTTTTTACAATTGGTTATTAGGTTTATAGTCTGCCAAATAATACTGTAAAAATAAAGGGATTGAATTCTTGAGTTTTTATTATCATTCTTGGTATGAAAAAGTCAGACATATAAAGAATACAGAAAACTGTATAGTGTATACATGAGATTATGTTGGTATGTTAGATTTCATCTGTTTTTCATAATCATCTTCTGGTGTGGCCATGGATGGGCATTTTGGACGTCCAGAAGCAGGCAAAAGGTTTTCCCAGTACTCTCGACGAGCCCTAAGACAGATTTTGGTTCATTAGTCAGTTCTAAACCAGCACTTGTGCAAAGCAGGAACACATGCATTCAAAGTTCCCATTATTTTGCCATTAACTGTTTAATGCAGTTTAATTTTTAATGCGCTAGCTGTGTTTTTGCTCAGTCTTACCTGGCTCTGACCCAGGGTTTAGTGTGCATCTCTAGAGCAGCTCCCCAGAGTCCGTGCTTCTCTGAAGCTGGTGGGAGGAATCCTCTCTCTGCAGCCAGCTCCTCTGCTATAGCTCTGATATGGTAGGGCTCAAATCCACAGCAGCCACCAATGTAGCGAATTCCAGCATTGTAAGCCTCTCTTGCATATTTATGGATGTCCCAGCGGGTGATTGCTCTGGTTTCCATTGCTGAGAGGAGAGTTAAATATTTAAGTCTGGGCATTTAGTTGTATTGATTTTGTCACATCAATGTCGTCAAACTGCACATATGTAGAGTTTACATACAGTATAAGTACTTAATTAAATATATAGAAATACAGTTTGCAGACTAACAATGACACAGATTCTCCAAAAGGCTTGGTTGAATTATTTGAGCAGAAGCATTGAATTACTGACTCAGTGCAGATCCCCGCCCTTTTTGACAGTTATGTAAATATTTGTGATCTCTTTTAAACCTTAGTGTACCATCTGCAGTTTTAGTTTGCTGTTTAGTGCAAAAACAAACACATACAATATATTACATTAATGTGCTGGAATAATAATAATGTAATTGAATATGAAACAATATTAATATTATTAATGAATATATTATCTTTTTCTTTATTCTGCACAAAAGAAATATACAATTGCTGACCGAAGGGGTACTCAGGTAGGCTAGTGTATCCACCCAAGTTGCACTCAGGCGTGTGAAAGCCCAGTGGCTGGATCATAAGGTGGGCTTTGAGACCCGCTTTCTCTAATCCCTCTTTCATCAACTTCACTGTACGAATGCACGTCAGAGGGTCCAAGTGGCAGTTTACTCCAACAATGTCAGCTCCTGCACATGATCAAATACACACAAAAAACATTCAGGTTATACAGCTAAAACATGATGTCAGACATGCCAACTGAAAGTATCACATCAGAGGAGGTCAGTGTACCAGCTTTGACGAGCCTGACAGCACACTCTCCAGGTGGGACTCCATGCATGTCTCCGTGAGGGGAGATACACAATGTTGCACCCACTGGTTTACCGCTGGTCTTCAGCACCTCCACTGCCCAGCCTGCCTCTTCCACATGATCAACAAACTGCAGGAGAATTGTACATTGAATTATTAAACCTTAAACTTGGACAAAAAGCCGTAAAAAAGAACACTGAATGCACATTGTAATCTTTTGTACAGTTATTCCTAAAGGGTGCTGCTCATACCTCCACTATGAAGAAATCAATGTCCTTTTTGAGGAAGTCATCCATCTGTTTCTTAAAGATGGCCTTGACCTCAGTCTCACTGTGACTCTTCACATAACATGGAGTCTTAGACACACACCCAGCGACCAGTGCATCATCCTCATTGGCTACCGCCCTGGCCAGGTCACAGGCTGCCTCATTGATCTGGGCCCCCTGGATCAGACAAGAGCAGATTGATACCAGACTGATGTTAGGATCATTTTCATTGGGTGCAATACGGCAAACAGGTTGAGGGTGTTATTAGAATATGTCGGATAGGGTTTTTTTTCACTGACGGTGATGTTGGTGACATTGCCACTGATCTCCAGCTTATCCTCACTGCAGTAGAAGGTGAATGTCTGAAGCACATTGGCTCCTGCTCTCAGAAACTCCCTGTGCAACTGACGCACTGACAGAGAAACAAAAAACATATATGCAGATTTTAATAATCAACTTATGCTATGATAATAAATGAGTAGGTAACATGTACCTGCTTCAGGATGTTCAACAGCAGCCTCAGGTGTCCAGTGTCCCGCCTTCACATAGCCACGTCGCTCTAGCTGCATCACATAACCTCCATCGCCTACAACCACCTCCCCAGCATTCAGTCGCTCCAAGATACCCTGTGTGCACACATACACACAAAGCTATGTAGTATACACTGATTAGATGATCAAATGATAAGCCAGTAGCTCGGGTATGAGATGCCTCACAAGTATGTCAGGTCCACTCTGCTCCTTGAAATAAGGTTTTTTCAGGCTTCCTGAAAATGATTTTATTTTCTCAAAATGTTGAGCAAAATACTTAAATATGTAGTATTTAGTGCTTGGCTTCCACATCAGTAATATAGTTATTACTATGCTAAAACAAAGGAACATTGACAAAACACTTGCAACAATTAATAATTAATTAGTCAATTGATAGAAAAAGAATCGCTAATTATTTTAATAATCTATTAATCATTAAAAATATTTTTCATGCAAAAATGAAATGTTGTTTTCAGCCTTTCAGATTTCTTGCTTATCTCTGTTTTATGTCGTATCAAGCTAAAACTGATCTTGGGTTTTTTGCTGCTTGTAAGGACGGTATGAAAGACTGTAAACCATTTCTCTGTTTTTTGTTGCATAATAACGTTTATGTTTCTCACCCTTCTCTTCTTGCTCCCCATTGCTGACAACGTCTCTGTGCAAAGTTCAGGATCAGGCCTGCGCAGAATAATAAACGGTCACGGATTTTACGTCACGCTGAAACGAGATCACGATGATCTCACGAGATTGAGAGGCCACAGTGGGGGAGACATAAAGCCGCAGTGAGCATGTTGAGAGAATATAGTTAAAATATGGTTAACATAGAACAAGAGTAAAGTAAAATAGAGCCTTGAATGCGTGCGAGCCATGAGTGGATCATATCAAATTATTATTTATATGTTAACTATGAGTTTTTATTGTATGGAATTTAAATTTACAATCTAAGGCAATCAATCGTACATTTTATTTGAACCTTTATTAACATCTTGGTTACATTATCAATGGTTGTTAAACATTTAGAATAATGATTCCATGAAAGGAGAACACAAACAAACAAATAAACAAAACAAACACATCTAAAATATGGGTTAATTTAAATTAACTTAAAGAGGTTTTAATCAATGTATAAAGACTGTAAAACAGAGAGTCCAATGGCACTCCTCCTATTTTCTAATAATCTATTATAAAATTAACAATGTAATGAACAGACACTGCATAGAAACATGAAACATTTACACAGTGACAATAAAGTATGTAGGCTATGTATGTAAAAAATACATTAAGCATTCACATAATTAATAGTTACTAGCCTTTTTTTGCGTTTAAAAATTCAATGATAATTTAACAATAATATTGTTGTTCTTATATACAGAATACCAATACATACAGTTTTTGTTATCCTGGCACTCTCTACCAAACAAAAAGTTTGAAGTTTTTGAAGATCATTCATTACATCAACCTTTAGACGCTCTAAACCTCAATGAACAATGACACCACTAATCTCAAACTCCTTATCTGTGTGTAAGTTAGGTAATTATTGTCGAAGAGAAGAAACTTTAGTGTGTAGCTGTTCTCCATTTCTAGATAAACCAACTTTCACTTCATAATAATAATAATTTTGTCAATAACAATGTGCAATAATCAAGGCACAATAATTACTGTGCAATCTATTGCCCATGCTAGTGTGTGGTGTTATCTGTTGTGGT